GTGTCAGGCCAGGGAAATGACCTTTGACATTCTGCATCCCAGATGAATGGACAGTCCCCCTTCAGACCGCCTCCTCAGTGCTTTGTCAGCCTGTGAGCCGTGGCTGGAGGCGGCAAATCCCTGGGGAGGCCCAGCTTGATTCCAGCACCAGGTATGCAGAGAAGTTAGCCTTTCAAAGTGTTGAACCACAACAGTGCTGCTTTTGAAGAAAGGAAGCTTCTCTTTCCCATACTTTATTCGTATTTTTAACAAACACTGCTGGAAGCAGGTTGACGTTGGTTTGAGCCAGCGTTCACAGAAAATATCATTATATGTATATATAAAATATTTTTAAGTAAATATAAGGAATATGAGAAACTAGAAACAATATAAGGATTGGAAAGTCATGAATGATCCCCCTACACACACATGCTTTTGTTTGTTTGCTTGTTTGTTTGGGGGCGGTAATTGGGTTTATTTATTTATAATGGAAGCACTGGGGATAGCACCTAGGACCTCGTGCGTGCTGAGCACACACTCTGCCACTGAGCTCTACCCTGCCCCCTCACATTTTAAAAAAATTTACCTTTGGTTATTTAATGTACACATAACTAAGTTTCTTAAGAGAACACTATATAATAGAATAGAAGAAAACTATATAAAAGTCTAAATTATAAAACTGTAAGTGGATACATCGGAACCAGTTGAGTTTAGAAGTGAAAGGTAAACTAACAAAAATGCGGAGTGTTTGAGGGAGGGGGAGGTAATTTATAACTTTTGGTGTGTCCTTCAATAAAAGACACAACCAAGTATCCTTTTTTTTTTAATAGCCTCTGGTCAGAGGTTCACTTCCAGGAGAAGAAAGAAGAATTTGCTCAAGTTGCCCCAGTGGGGCTGAGACAAGATACAGAAGATAAAATACTGCCTTCGTCTGCAGATTCCAGACTCTTTCCCTTTCTGACCAACACGACTCTCAGTGGCTTGTTCTTAACTCCTTAGAGGAGCCATATTTGATGGGAACTTTGGCTATTTTAAAATACTAAAATGAAAGCACAGCTCTTGGTGAAATGGGGACGGATGGTATAATTCTTGGGGAGCACTGGTTTGCTTCAATGGGCTTGGAGGCTGCACTAACTTTAAAAGGGGGCTGAACCATTCAATCTTAGATCTTAGCAATGCCTCATTAATTTTCAGAGCCCTTTGAACCGTTTCTCCTCAACTTCCTTCACTACAGTTTGTTTATCTTTAGGCTTCCCATAGAAAAAATTATAAATCTGTGAAACAATAGTTTAGGGTGGAGAAACAAACAAAGACAGTGTTTGTTTATTTACTGACAATCTAAATTCAGATGCCTGTTGACAGGAAGCCTTAATCTGCCCGTCAGCACCCCTCCTTGGGTTGGATGATGGAAACCTACAAAGGTCCTGGCTCCTCCCCACTGGGAGTTCACAGTCTTAAGCCCTAAATCCAGGTGAGAAACACCGCATTTGCGAAGGCAACTGCAAATTCAAGGCTGTGGTATCAAGATCACATTCACTCCATTTAGTAAAAGTCATTCCCATCTGAACTTCCAACACTTGACAAGTCAGACACTGCTTGAGGAAGGGTGGTGTTTTTCCAGTGTCCTCGTTAGCTCCCCAAGGAAATTCCAAGGGGACAAGACCAGGGATAAAAGGCTTTCTGTCTTTCTCTTGGTTTTTACTGCTAAAACAGTTTTTGTTCCATTAGGCTTGTCATGCAAGATCTTTCAGAGTAAATCCACACAACAGCCTCTGACTATTCATTCATCACCACTAACGTAGTCATCGTGTGTCTAAAAACCCACTGCTGACGTCTCACAAGTTCCAACATTTACTTACACACCGTCCTGAAATTTGTTCAATGTAAAATCATTCCAAGATTACAAAGACAATCTGGCTAGTATGGCCTATGTGTATACATGTGGCATGCAATAAATATTCACCTTCCCAGGGTTCCTGCTCAGGCTGAATCTAATATCAATCTAATCTGCAAGATACAGGAAGCTAAATACAATTTGAATTAGCCCCCGGGGAGGCCACTGGCTGCTAGGTAGAGTGAATCTCCCTTAAGTCTTAAGGAATGACAAATGCTTTGAGATACTATCTAACCTCTTATCCAAAGTATCTCCCAAGACTGCTCTTCAATGCCTTTCCTGTCACCCTCATTCATATTCATAGACTGGGGAAAGCTTGCAGATATATGGTTGGTAGCCCCCTCTAGTAATATATACATCTAAGCTCCACAAAGCAGATCCATTGGAAAAATCACTGCCTTGCTGTAATCTGGTTAAACTCAGCTCTGCCACCTTCCCAATTCTACTTCCAAATTTCTGGAATGGCAGACAAGTGAATGTCACCACCACCACCACGCTGCAGAACGGGGCAGTGTTTGCAAATTAACAGTGATGCGTTTAGAGTCTAAAACTGTACCTCAGAGGAAAGGCTGTCAAAATCGGAAAGAATGTTTCATTTCATTATTTCATTGACTCTCAAATTTCAGATCAACAATCTGTTTTTTGTTGCAGCGTAAGGACGGCATCACCAGAATGTACTGGGGACAGTTGGTGCTGGAGCAGTTATTTTTTTCTTGATAACTGTGACCCATAAAGTGACTAACTAGATGCACTCCTTCCAGGGAAATTAAACAGACTGTTCACTAAGAAGGGTGCCTCCCCTAAAAGATTCACAAAGTCCCCCAAACCAGTGGGACTGTCATATGTTGTTGATTGCACTTATAGGGCAAATTGTAATTTATTTGTTTAGAATGCATCAGTCAGACACAAACTGTTCAAGCAGTTCTTAAACTTGACTCGCGATTTTCCCCATGGATCAACCATCTGGAGCAGCTGCAACTCTAAGAGAACTCCATTCTGTCGAATACCAACAAACAGAATAGTACATTCAGCTAAAAGGTTCTTATCAGTAGCCATCCAGGGTATTCCAAAAGGAAGCAATTACAAAGCAACATAATTTGTAGACAGAAGAGGCCAAAAGCAGTAAATTGAAAGCGAGTATTTAAAACAGTAAATCCAGCCTGCAGGTGACAGGAGGGCTTACAAACCTCAAATAGGCAAAGATCTGAAATACTAAAAAGTCAAATTAAAATATTCACTGTATATATAAATAACAGGTACAAATACTCCAATTTTGAGGATCTGGGGGCCACTCTAGTTCATCCAAGACTCTCGTGCGTATTAACAGGAACAGCTACTATATCTCCTCACAGTAATCATACAAAGCGACTTGATTGCCCCCAGTGTATAGGTAACCAAACTGAGGATCCAAAGAGCCCATGTCATGTGCCCAAGTTCACACGGCCAGTCGGGACTGAGGGAGCACATGAACCCAGCCTGTGAGATTCCCGGGTGCCCTTGACAAGTCGCTGCCTTGGATGAGTTCAACCTTATCATACCACGTAGCTTTTGGAGGTTTGTATTTATTCAGGCTCAGAGACGGACAAGAGGACCAATTAGAGGCTGCAAGGGAAAAAAGCTGTCCTGGCCCCAAAAAAGGGCTAGTTCCAGACACGTGATACTAGACACCACTGCTTTCAAGCTTTTAGTCTATAATCAAGCCGTATTGAAACCAGATTTACAAGCTCTTCAGAGGAGAGCTTTGTGATTTTCTAAAGCAGACATGTTTGGTATTTTAGAAGGTCAAACCCCCTATGGTGCAGTGTTTTTAATAAAATCAGTTCAGCAGAAATTAGAGACACACCAGTCAATTTCTCAGACGCCTCTGAGCCATTCAAAATAAGGGGGAAAACAACATGAAAGATGTAACCACGGGCAGATCAATTTTTTCAAAAGGGGCAGGATGTAAGGGGTGTAGATACAGAAACATCATGGCAAATTTGGTTCCATTTGTCTCTGGTTTGGGCAAATTTCCACTTAAAAAGGGAAAATTCCTTTTTGGGGGGAGTTCTATGTCAATATTAAACAAGGACAGTTCTGGTCAGCCCAGCCTTGTACTGACACCTCAAAGTAACGGCAAACATCTCTACGAGGGAAAAACAAACAAACCAGTCATCACCATTCTTACATCACCGAATCAGGTAGGTCGTTATTTCATGAAGGGTCCTTTATCTCTGCTCTTGGCAACCTCTACGCTCCCGTAAAGAAGCAAAAGGAAATTCTATATTTAGTTCTTAGAAAAAAAATCAAAGTTGAGAAGCCTGCAATATTTTCATCGAAAGGCCAGATCTGGCCTTAAAACTGGTGGCAAGAACATCAACAAATACAAAACGAATGAGGAGGTATCAAAGGGAGAGGATTTGTTATTAGGAAAAGAGACAGGGCCAGTCTATTGCATGGCTACAACTTGAGCCCCAGAACCCCCAGTCTGAGAACCTGGGCACAGAGCCACCATCCCACAGGAGAGATGGTGTAAACAGCCTTATGAACTTCCATGAGAAAGAAAAGGCAGGTCAGTCAAAACAGAACCAAGTGGAGACAATATTGTGCTCATCAGCCATTAAATTTCTGTGATCTGAGCGCCAGTCCAGACCCTGGCCTTTCCTGAAGGATGGAGTGCACCGATTTCAAAATGTTTCAAAGTGTATGAATTTCAATCCTTCGTTGTTTTATCTCCTGATGAATTTCTGAGTTCCTAGTTAACTAGTATGTGGAGGAAATGGGGTGAACAAGGAACAGCAGAGCAGGCAGGGGAGGAAAAGTGAACTCTCCAGAACTGATGAAAGGCCACTTCAGAGTCACAGAACTTGCAGGATGGGCGCCTGACGTGAGAAAGCACGAGAAGACGTCATTCCATCTTCAAGCTACAAAACTACCGTCCTTTGACCTCAAGCGCCAAGGAGGTGATGAGGGTGGAAATTTCACCAGTTGGTCACTTTGATCCATTCTCTTCTCTTAGATTTGGAGAATCAGGCCCAATACTTCTTTGGCTCCCTCAAAAATCGACACACCTAAAACTTAACACCTTTATAAATTGTCAGTCACACAGGCAAGAAGAACTGTCAGATCTCAAAAAGCACAATAGGAATGCTGTCATTTATTAAAACATGTATTTATTCCATAGCCTAATTTGTCTGGGGCTGTGGTCTATTTATTAAATAATCTAGATATTCATTTTTAGACCAGTCATTTCAACTCAGATTCCTCCATGACTGGGCCACTGCGTCTGTCTTAAGGGACCCACGTTATGCAGCTCATAAAATATTCCAGGAAATATGCAAAAAAACGCTTTAACAGTCATAGAAGAAAACCCCCTATATACTCAAATATGCAGGCTGTAAGTTAATTTTTAAGCAAAAGTTTCAAATATACAAAATAATTGAGAGGAAAAAAACCCTACAAATTAGTCTCACATTTAAGATAACAAAGACCCATTTTGGGGGAAAAGTACACAAATATGGCATGGATTTAAACTCAGGCTGGGCAGTATTGCCAAAGTCCTACAGGAGTGGAAACACTGTGATTAGGCTAACATCAATGGTCTATTTGGTTATGTTAATAAAAGAATCATTTGTGGAGGAAACTTATTTAAAATCTTAATTGATAAATAATGTTCACTATTGAAAATCTTTCTAAAGATTGAGAAGTTAAAAAAAAAAATTATTATAACACTGTGTGGAAGGAAGGTTCACAAACTGGGTGTTTGGTACCATAATGTTTGGTTACTTTGGGGTCCAAAACGTTTAATTAGGTTTGAGACAGAATAAACAGATGAAAGAATTAACAGTAAACGTAGACAGTGACTAACTTTACCAAAAAAAGTTTAAGTTTTTGTTTTTTTTTAATGGAGGTACTGGGGATTGAACCCAGGACCTCGTGCATGCCAAGCATGTGCTCTACCACTGAGCTACAACCCCACTCCCTTTGTTTTTCTGTTTTGATTAGAGGTAGACACATTTAAAAATGTATTCCAGAGCCACGGGACAAAGGTGACAATTATTATTACCCTTTGCTAAGGCAACTTCAGAAATGGATCAATTATATCTGACCTGGTCTAAGTAAGTTTCAGATTTCTCTTATATGAAAGCAAAAACACCAGAATTATCCTAACAAAAAACCGTGGGTAAGACACTTGACTGATGGGCAGTATACATTTAGAAATTCTCCACACTGTAAGAAAATTACCTACGCACCACGGAAGAATAAACAAGACCTTGGTCTTGTTAAAAAAAAAAAATCAAGCCAAAATCTATAGTTGAGACTCTACTCTGAACAATGACAGATCTTCATCTGTATAATTAACATTTAGGTCCTTATCCTTCCCACTTAGTTTTTAATTTATGACAAGACACCGCTCAAGTTCAGACAAAATATATATATATATATATTTTTAAAATCTTTACAATAAATCAAGATGTAGGAGCTTACACAGAGCACATTTTCGTTTATTTAAGGTACTCAATTCCAGCTCCCTCTGGATGAGAATAACCCTGGTAACAGTGTACAGAGTCTGCCCTTTGCTTTTTGTCGTTTTAAAGCAAATAATTCATTTCAACTGTCTGTACGTCTGTGCAAATAATCCTTCAGAAGAAACATCCAAGATTCTGTTTGCAGAGGTCATCCTGTCCCTCCAAGGTGATTCCATGGAGTTTATTTTTCTTCAGATAAAGTGCTCCTGTCCAGCAGAACTCAGAGGCCTTCAAGGGTCCCAGCAGGTCAGTTCGGGGGGAGGCTCCGTCATACAAACTCCAGCTTCCCGTGCCCGCTGTACATGCCCCAGTGCACGAGGGACAGGATCCTCTCGTGGCCGAGGTCAGCTTGTCTCATCTTGTCGCAGCTCAGACAGCAGTTCTCGTGGCCGCTGGCAGGCACCATGCACTCCAGGTCAAGCTTGGCCACCTGCCCCTTCCTGGAGTGGTGTCCGTGGAAGCTATAGTGCAGGCGGGACAGCATCTGCTGCCGCTGGTCCCGCAGCCTCCTGTTCTCACTCCGGAGCATCCTCAGCGCCAGCATGATCAGCAGCACCAGGATCAGCCCCCCGGCGATGGGAACGGCGATCACCGCTGCCCGGAACCACAGCTCCTTGGAGGAGGTCAGCTCCTGCACTTTCGTGATGAGGTTCCGGCTGCCATCAGGCTGATACCTGTTCCCTTGGCCTAGGAGGACAAGCAAAGTGGTCAGTCCGTGGGAACCCCTCCTGGAGACAGCCACGCGCCTCTCTCCAGTCTCCTCATTCGTCAAGGCACCCCGTTAAAAAGAAGTTTCCAATTCAATCAATATTCAGAACAGAAACGTTGCAAGACGAAGCAGGAGAAGCTTCCAAAGACGTCTGTTTACAGACTGTCATTACTGATTAGTTATGGTCTTTTAGTGGCCGCAAAATGTCAAAAAAACAGGCAAAGCCTATTCTGCAGACAGACATCTAATGCTCAGGGAGACATGAAAGCTACCCCAGATACGCACCCAGCCAGGCTTCTCCCTCTCTAATTACATTAACAACAAAATCAATAGCAGACAGACAAAGTCGTGGCTGTCACAAGCTTATAGATCGGGCCAGAGTTTGGTCTGGGAGGGCTTCTACCTACCTGAGGCGTCCCCCCTGGGAGGGGCGAGCACATCCTGAAGCCCTCTGTAATTGCACATATCTTCGTGACAGCACCCCAACGTGGGTACCGTGGTGCCGGAGTGGTTTCGTGCCTGTTTGGCTTGGCAGGCATCTGCTGTGCTCGCGAGAAAGTCCAGGCAGCCATGGGTGAGTGGGGAATTCGTGTTCTGAGGATCAAGGAGTCTGGAGAAGCAGGCGCTCAGCTCAGATTTACACATATAACCAGTAGCCACGCAGTGGGCGGCATCACAGTAGCATCTGATTTCACCTGAAAACAACAGGAAATTGCATCAAACTGCTTCAGGGACCCAATACAGTATCTACCCCAGCCACTGCAAATTTCAAAGGCACTCACTTCACAGAATAGTCAGCTGAGGGCTGAGAAGGATGGTCCGTGCAGACTGGAAAAGCTCTTTGTGCAAGCCAGTGTTTAAACCCCAATCCAGGTGAACATCATTTTAGAAATGTATTAATCCCAGGAGTAGAGAATCAAAGCTCCATTTAGGTTTCAGATAAGTTAACAAGTAATTAAAAACACTTGTTTTTTGAAAGGGGAAAAATCAACAATAATTTCTCCTCCTGGAAGGCAAATTACATTATTTATTCATTTTAATCCTACGTGACTGTACAACATAAAATGCTAGGCTTTTTGATTTTGTCAATATAAATATTTGATCGGAACTGCTGAATTGTTTACTACCTTGAAGGGCAGTGCCAAGATTTAAGAGCTTTAGCTAACACCTTATAAAGTTATTAACTAGAAACACAACAATCTAGAAATTGCTCCGGTCAGGAGGTTTTAAAACTATGAAACTGGGCAGCTATTTGCAACCTCTCTAGAAAAGGCAAACTTTGCCTATAAAGATCTGTTCATGCAGGGGAGCTTTCAGTCAGTATATTGTAAAACAGGAACTAGGCAGTTTACAATTAGTGGTTTGCTTGCCAAAGTCAATTTCTTTCAGCCCAAATGGAAAGTCATAAAACCGAGGGCAGGGAGGAGGGGGTAAAACTGCAAGGCTCCCTTCTCCTCCCCCTAACTCCCCAGTTTTACGTGTAATTCAACATGGGATCTAAAAGGGGAAACACTGAAACTGAAAATCCTCTGCTGGTTGAATGAAAAATCCTTGAGGAAACCTCAAATTTTTCTACAGGAAGTGATTAAAAGTCTCCTTTATAAAACTTAGTTTGTGAGTTGCAAGTCACATTAACATCTTACCACAAGGCAGGATCTGAGGCTTTTATGTTCACTTCTAGTTGAAATAATCTGGATCTGGGAGTTATCACTCCTACCATGGCTGACCCCGTGGACCCCCGCCACTGTCACATGTTACAGATGAAGATACTGTGAATCAATCTAATGCACACATCTCTCCCCAGCTTCCCCGTCTGAAGTTCTGTCTGGTTACAGAAACCTCCCCTCTGAAACTAAACACCGGGCACTTGTGCTTTATAAACTTCTTCCCACCCTCACTTCTCTTCCTCCTCCTCTCGTGAATGCCTGAGTAAGACGTCTCATTTAATTATCTGTCCAAATTCCAGGCCACCGTATGGTATGCTCAGCTTTTCACCAGAGGCTGCTAATGCTTCAGTTCTTAAAAAAAAAAAAAAAAAACCCACAGCCAACTAAACGCAGATCTTTGGCAACATGACTTGGCCCGAGCAAAGCCGGAGGTCTTGCTCCTGTCCTAACTGTGCTGCTGTCCTGGGTCTGGGCCCAGGTCCCTTTCTCCAGTAAGTCAGACCTTCCCTTTAGAATCCTGCTTTGTAGACGCTCTTTCCAAGCTTACTTGATTTTTTGCATAAAGCTCACCGGTCTTAAATGGTGATGACTACACATCGCTAAGTCTGACAAATTCCACGTAGAGATTTAAAGTGGAAATAAAATGGATTAAAAATCAATTTTGATCCCATTCACCTTAGACTTCGTGCAGAAAAAAAGAAAACTGAACACAAGTAAAATGCTGCTTAAATGTTTATGAGAGCCTATTTAAAGTCCTATATTTTCAATGACCTAAAACAGTCTAATAAAATTTTGACAGGTAACTAGGAAAAGCTCTAACAACTTTTTTTTTAATTGGAGCCACATTTGAGCAAGTTGAATAGACTTTTGTGTTACTGTATTAAAACTATATTTCTACCATTTCATAAAGTTTCTTCCTGTGGCATGCGAAGGGCCAGAAGGGGACTGGTATTTTGAAACGGGGAACAATGCTCCTCTGTTGGCCCCTCTCTTGTTACTGTATGTAGTGATTAAACAGAAATGTCTGCTTTAGTCAAGATGGCTACAGGAGAGGCTGCTGGCTTCTTTTAAAGCTTTTGAAGTCCGCAGCAGTCAGAAATCTCTGCTCCCCTAATTATATCATTATCAGGCGCATAGTTTCGGTATCTGTGACTTCATGTCAGCCTCAGTCCGTCCCTGTTCGGCCGGCCTTTGATAGGGCCAGGAGGCTCCCCTCTGCAGCCTGCCAGGGCTGTTATTTAGGGTTAATTACACCCTTCCTTCCAAAATAAATAAATACTGTAGCCCATCATCCTCGCTGGGCTAGCTTATCCCTTAACCTCAGGCCTGCTACATGGCAATTAGAGAAAAATGGAGGAGGGGGTGCAAAAGCTAAAACAACGCTTCCTATTTAAAAAAAAATTATCTGTTCACAGAACAAACAGTAGGTAGAGTTCATGGCGAGGGAGGTGGGAGAACCTAGAAACCTAGAGGGAGTTGTTTGGGTTATTTCGACCTAAAAGGTGAAAGCCTGCAGAGAAAAACAAACTGACCGCTGCCTTTTTTTTGTTTTTTTAAAGTAGTGTTTATAAAATACGAGGTGAGTGGGAAATGGGGCCGCTGACAGAGCCTACTCCTCCCGGCCACTGAGAAACAACACGGTCCATGCTTCTGCACAGACAGACACACCTGGACACCTACACTCCCGGGGAGGCCCACACTCGCCGGCTCACAAAGACACTGGCTCAGAGACGCGCGCAAAGACACTCAGGGACAGAGACACATTTAAATAGAAAGACACTCAGATACCCCCCCACACATACATATACACACACCAGACACTCAGGAGACTTACACACACTCATGGACCAAGACACACTCAAATACAGATACACACACAGCAGAGACACTCAAACACACGCTCGCGCACTCTCGGACACAGCGCAAAGGGGCCGCTGCCGCCCCACACTCCAGCCCCGCTCCGCGGCTGCAAACGTTCCCAAGTTCACGACAGACTTGCACATTTTGAAAACCACTTGCCCTGAGGTCTGACTCCACCTCCCCGCGCCGGGCCCGGGACACCCGAAGGGGCGGCCGCGAAGCCACCGCCGCGACTTCTAAGAACAGGCAACTTGTCGCGACCTGCGGGCTCCCGCGCGGGAGGAAGCTTCACCCGCCGCTAACAAAGCCTTGGCAGCGGGAATCAGAGATCCGCGGCGGCGGCCGCCCCAGGACTCCGCGGCCCTCCCCGGGGAGCCCGCGCCCCGCCGCCC